TAATAATAATAATAATAATAATAATAATAATAATAATAATAATAAAGATATTGGTAGTGGTGGTTCTCCCAACAGTAAGAATAGGAATCTCAACAATATGAGTGAAATGGAATCTCATACACTCTCTTGGCAGAGTGTCATGCGGGAGGCGGCGAGAAAATCATCTGAATTGTTTACAACGAAAACAATGCATACAATTAATAGAATAACAAGTAGTGATATGAATAGAAACAGAAATCCACATCGTTATTATTATGATGATGGTGTTGGACGTCCGTGTTTGTGGAATCTTCGCGGTGTTGGGGCTTCTAGTGAAGGACTCACAGAATTGCAGGATATCCTCACATCATCCTCATATTCTTCTTCTTCTACACTTCCTAGTTTATCAAGATCGGTATTAACATCAACTAGAATTACGAGTGTAAATGTCTCTGGTGGATTAGGATTGGGAGGTCCACGTGTTTCTCTCTTTGCCCCTTCACAAGTGGTGGGTATTCGACTGCGTGAGTGTTTACAAAAAGCCGAGCGGCTTCTCTCTGTGAATGCATTTACGCAACACTTTGAACGGCATGGTGTTTGTGCAGATGATATGCGGGAGGCGGTTGTGCGATTGTGGGATACGGTAAATGCTTATACACCGCTAGAGGAAGAAGAAGAAGAAGAAGAGGAAGAAGAGGAGGAATATTGAAAGAGGGACTAATATATATATATAGGCGTACATAGATATTATACATATAATAGAGAGAGTAAGAGTGAGAAGAATAGAATTATTGGAAAAGGAGTATATATATATATATATATATATATTGTGTTTTTTTGTATTTATGTTATTATGTATTTAATTGATGGATTTTTTTTTTTGCTTCTTTGTTTCTTCATCTGCCTTTTTCTTTTCTTTTTCTTTTTCTTCTTACTTATTTATTGGGGATTTTCTTTGTTTTAAATAAAAGGGAAAGACGAGGGGAAAAAAGAAAAGAAACTATTGCCATTACACACCAAGAGATAGAAATAAACTACCATAAAAAGGAATTCTTATTTCTTTTTTTTTTTCTTTTTTTTTTGTTTGAGCGTGTAGAATAGCTCATTCCTTTATTTTCCTCTATTTCGCAACACAAGCAATCTTCACAAGGAACCAATATATTTATATATATTGCGTAAAAGGGTGAATATTGCCAATAACAACAAGAAGAAAAGAGCAATAATAAACAAAAGAAGAAGAAGAATATCTTTTGTTTATTACTATTTTTATTATTAGAGCCACCTAGTGGAAATTTCCCAGTGAACAAACACACAAAATAAAGAAAGAAAGAACGAACGAACAAAGAGGAGGAAAATAAATAAGGAATAAATATAAAGTAGAAGAAGAAAAGAAAAGAGAATATAGAAACAAAAAAGGGAAAAAAAAGAAAAGCGTAAAGGCAGCAGTAAACAACAAGTGAAAAGGGAAAAGAAACATATTATATATATTTATTTATATATTTATATAGATAAATATATATATATATATATATATATATATATATATATGTCCACTGTATCCTCACATCTCCACCGACGGCGTTTTCAACACAACCCGTATGCTGTCCAACTCCTAGATGTATCCTCTGAAGAGGTCAGCAGTCAAAGCAACAGCAACAGCAATAATAATAATACTACTACTAATAATAACAGTGAGAATGTATACAGTCGAGCAGCATTGGATTTTCTCAACGCCGCCTCTTATGTGGAAGATACACTCTCTCTCTCTCATACAAAACACTTTGATGCGATGGATCTTATTCACGATCGAATGACAAGTACGGAGTGTGAGGGCGGTATTTCAGATGTGGGCAGTAGTGATGAAACCAGCCGCACCGCCTCTTCTTCACTTCCTCTTTTTACCCATATGAATACAATCAATCATCATAATATGAATAACAATAATAATAATAATAATAATAATAATAATACTACACATATGTATCCAACAATGAATCCATCCACTTCTACTACCACTACTACTACTACAACTAATACAATGATGCGGATGAGTCCCACACCACTTCCATCGTCCATGATGATGATGTCCACAACAACGGCAGCTTCAAGTATGATGTCAACAACAACAACAACAACAAGTCGTGTGGTTCGTTACGCCTCTGTGGATTTCCGCTTTGGCAGTGCGTGGTTTGTTGCCCCCTTCCGCACCGCCGTTGGGGAGATGGTGGTGGTGGAATATCCACACAACGGGAGTTTACATCTCGGCCTGGTGAGTTGCATCACCACAAGTGTGCCGCCCACACTCGCCCCACTCATTCTCCCTCTTAATTCTTCTATTCCCAATACTAATACTAATAATACTAATAATAATAATCCGATGACGAATGCAAGTCTGCATAGTCTTCCCAATATGAATAACAGTCATGTGGATGAGGAGACCAGTAGTAGTGGTGGGATGCAGCATTTGGGATTTTCCGCTAGTGGGATGTTAACAGAGGAGGAGCGCCATCAACATTGCCCACGATTACTTCGGCATGCGCGGGATTTTGATCGGCAGACAAAATTGGAACTCCGCTCACATGATATTGCCTCTCTGAAGAGTGCGCAGGAACTCGCTGTGGAGATGCAGGCGCCAGTCACTTTTTTGGATGCGGAGTGGCTTCTCGATCTCACCGCCGTTACTTTTCTGGTGAATGTGTGGGGGGAAATGACACTTGTGGATAAACTCGCAGATGAGTTGGCCGCCTTGGAAGGGGCGGAAGTCGTATTTACATATCCCGCTCTCAACTAAGATAAGAAAGTGAGAGATTCCCCTCTATACGTATTATTATTATTATTATTATTATTATTATTATTATTATTATTATT